TAAATAGTACTTCTTTTGAGTTTTCCACTTCCGTTTGCTTTGTGACTATATAAAGAAATCCACTGGTTTTCTGTTTGTTTGTTTTTTTGCATATTGGCCTGGCTAGGCTCACTTTGTTGGGTATCCTGTCTTTCCTTGTGGACTCATTAGGGTTTTCTATGCACACAGTCAAGCCACCTTTCTAGCCCAGCATCTTCATGAATTGTTTTACTTGCTTGGCTGAATGGCTGTCCTATCAGGTGCATGCTGAATAGAATGGTGAGAGCAGACACTGCCTGGCTCGTCTTAGGGGAGAAACATTTCAACGTTAAGTGTTTGTAAATTGTGGGCCTTTCACTGGGTTGAAAAACTGCCTTTTTATTCCTAGTTTGCTGAGAGTTGTTTTAATGAACAACTGTTGAGTTTTTAAAATGCTTTCTTTTGCATCTATTGAGATGGTTTCCATTATCTATTGAGATGGTTTCCATTGTGTATTCTGTTAAGAGGCAGGTTATATGGTTTGGTTTCTGAACACTAAACCAACCTTGCATTCCTGGGGTAAACCCACTTGATCACTGGTTTTCTTTACTAGTGTTTTGTGAAAGATTTTGTTGCATCTATGTTCATAAAAGATATTGGTTTAGAGTATTTTTCTGGTAATGTCTTTGTCAGGATTAAATATAAAGGTTATTAATATCTAAAATCTACTTTATTCACTGAGCTACACCGGTTTCGGTGGTCATAAAATCTGATTTATTCAAATTTTCACTCCATGTAACTTAAATGTAACTGAAGCCAGAAAGGAGACAGGAAGATAATGTCTTAGTAGCATTACAATGGCAGTACTGTTATCATTGCATTGGGAAAACTGCTCTATTCTCAGGAGGGAAGAGAAAGATAGAGCAGAATGAGAAAGGATAGTGAGGGCGAGCAGCTCAGAATTAACAAAATGCCCACAGTGGTTTTGGGGTTCCTTGTTCTCCCATTCATGATGCCTGACCACTAACTTAACTCTTTCCCAAAAGCCTTCCTCTTCTTAGATTTTTAGGTGCAACCAGTTTTCCGGTTATAGTGGAAATCCCTGGGAAAACTCATGTATTTTCTCAAGACAAGTCTAATTAAATGTAGAAAATGTTGAAAGGAGGCATATCAAATGCTGTATCAAATGCTATATTTGATAAATGGTATTTTAAAGATGATTGGGAGAAATGGCTACATTTGGCATCATTGGTCTTCTCAGATGATACAGCCTGGAATCTGGTCATCTACAGTGAGTGACTACAGAGAGGCGGCTCCAGCCTAGCACAGGGCTGAGAGGGGCAGGGTTGGGGACAGAAATTATTTTTTAAAGAAAAGAAATGAGGGAAAAATAGATACAGAGGCAAAGAAGCATTGAACAGATTGCCAAACTACAGCGGGAAGGCAGGGGAGGTTGGGGGAGGGGGCTGTAAGAGATCAACCAAAGGTTTTGAATGTATGCATATAAACATAACCAATGGATGACACTGCGGTGGGGGGGGAGAGGGGAGGCAGGTGAGGGCATGTACTGGGGGTAGGAGAGGCCGGGGGGGGGGGGGCAATGGGGGAACAAAAGGAAACGTATGTACCACTATTTGTAATACTTCAAAGAATAAAAAAAAGAAAGAAATGAAGGGATGGGTGCAAGGCAGGACCAGCAGTGTCAGAGGGAGATGCCGGGGCAGGGGAGCAGGAAGGAGAGGGGGCGGGGCAGTGGTGGACAGATGGCCGAGCCGCCCAGACTTCCGTGAACTAGAGACCTGCAGGCGGCGCCCATCTTCTGGACCACAGGATGCAAGGCTCCCTGCGGCTCCTGACAGGGACGCTCCGTGCCTGCCCTCTGCCCCACCGGGCGGGCTCTCCCAGCTGAGGCCACCCACCAGCCATTGCTAGGGTAACGGTACCCTAATATAGACAGAACAATTAATCGGGCCTGAAACCTGGGTGACTTCCTCATGCACCAGCTTAGTGACTTTCTGCGGAGACAACACAGGCAGGTCCCACACTCTTGTCCAATTCTCGAAAATAACAACATTCAAGCCAAATGATATCCAGTCCTCCAAGTCTCCTGACTGAATCCGGATGAGCAACTCCATGAGGGTAGATGCAGACCTTGCATGGACGGCAGGGGCTGGTCCTTCATTCTGGAGGTCAAGGGCACCTTTCCAGAAGGTCAGTCTCATCATCTACCCCAAGCACTCTGCTTCCAGAATCTGCATCCCCCCCCTCAGACTTGCAAGACACTGGATGAGAAACTTCCGGATCCATCTTCCCAGGGTTTCTGTGATCTGATCACTGATGGTCCTTTTCTTCACAGCCTGCTCCCTTGGAACGCAAACCCCACGGGGGCAGGGGCACCAACTGTCCTGCCCCAGTGTCACCCCGAGGTCCCAGAACAGTGCCCGGTCCAGGGCGAACAAGCTGATCCCTGTTGGAGGAATAAGCTGATCCGCTGGTGATAAGAGAGCAGTTGTTGGACAGTGTGCACTGGCGGTCCCTTTGAAAGGATCCAGTTCAATTCTCTGGAGATGGAGACTTTGGTCAAAAGGCCACTTTCACTTTCAAACCTGAGGACCCCGAGAACGCCAGCCGCTCACCTCCGGGGTCCCCGAGAACAGACTGACCGAGGGGTGGCTCTGGTGCGGCCAGCTGTCCCCGGAAACAGGCCGGCTCTCCGGTGTCCAGCCACCCCCACCCCCCACCCCCCGACAGGCACTGGGAACAGAGAAGGAAGAGGCCACAGAGAGCAGGATATTTTTATGCTTAAAATCAAGTCCGTCCACCAGGTGCCAACTGCGTGGCCACTTGATTGATGGCGGCAAATCAGGGCTCTCAGTGCTGCTGGGCGCGCCTTCGTGGAGAGCCGGGGGTGAATCAAAGATATGGGGGTGCAGCAAGCACAGTGCGCAGGCAGCACACAGCACACATTAGCATCATGGGGGACCCTAACCGGGTCCCCAGCCGGGAGCCGGGCCCGGCGGCGCAGGGCCGTGGGAACGGGACACACACGCACTCCTGCCTGTGGCCCCTCACTGCCGGGCAGCCCGGTGGTTGGGAGATCTGAGCAGATTAATGTCCCTGGCCTCCGCCCCGCTAAATTACCAGGGCCTGGCGCTCGCCCGCCCACCGGCGCCCCCGCCCCCTGGGCCCGGCTCCCCTCCACGCGGAGTGCCGTGTCAACAAAAATGTGATAGTGACATTTCTCTCTCTCTCAATTACATGTCGGCTTTTCCCTGCCAGCGCAAAATACATATTGTGCTCCGGCGAGGTGCATTGTACCGAGGTCAGCGGGAACTCATTGTCCTCCTGCTTCAGAAGAGAACACTGACATCTGTACAATCCGCCGCAAACTCTCCGAGCGGCGGGGCCTCGGCATGCTGGGCAGGGAGGGCGGGGAGCTGGAGGGCAGGGCCGACCGAGAGATGCTGAGGGATGTATGAGGGCTGACCCAGGGGCCTGGGCCTGCCCAGGGAAGGTTTTGCAGAATGTTCTGTATGAATATTTGGCAAATACCTACAAGCCAGCACCGTTTGCAGTGCCCACTGCAGACAGGAGGCCCGGCAGGGCCGGTGGTGGCCTGGGGCGCAGTGTGGCTGTGAGTTCCACTGGGGCGGGGGAGGGGGGCAGGAGGAGCCTGTCCCCAGTGCCACTGACCCCTCCCTGGACAGTGTGCATCAGTGAGTGGAGCTGGGGTGGGGGTGGGCCCGCACAGACTCGGGAAACAGGCCTGCTGGGCGCCGGTCCCCCCGCAGAACGGCGGCCTTTCAAGTCGGTGTGGGAGCAAATCAAAGGCAGATCTGACATCCGGCGGGGGCTCTTCTCCGAGCACAGGCTGCTCATGGCGGAGGGAACGTGGCGACAGGCAGGGGGCTGCGTGGCTGACAAAGGACTACAAACGAGGGGGAGACTGTCCCCGCCACGGCGAGACGGGAAGTCCCACTCGGCTCCTCCTTCCCCACCCGTGTGCGTGCATGTGTGAAGAGGGAGAGGCTGCGTGTGTGTGCGTGCATGTTTATGTGTACACATGCATGTGCACAAATGTTCCTGTGTGTGCGCGTGTGAAAAGATATGCATGTGTGAGTGTGCACAGGTGTGTGTGTGTGTGTGTGTGTGTGGGTGTGCAGGTCCCAGTGCGTTTCCCCGTCCTGGTCAGAGTATGTCAGAGGTGGAACGCAGAGCCACCTGCCTGGGGACGTGGCTTCTGCCGTGTCTGGTGCCACCCCCCTGGGGGTGAGGTGCTGTGGTGCTTCCCAAAGCCCTGAGTGGCTCTGCCTTTGTCCCACCCCCGGCAATGAATTCATTCCCCCCCCCCCATCCCCCCCGGCTTTCTCCCCTTCCGCCCGCACCCTCTCCCTGTGGCCGGGGCCGGAGCAGCGAGCATGTGATTTCAATTTGAAATTAAAAGTCATGTCTGAATAACAGAGCGGCATTCTCATTTCCTAATACCCCGCTTTTTACTACTTTGCATTCAACTGTGAAAAGTCTTTTAAAACTCGGAACAGCAGTAAAACTTGAATGAATTTTTGACCCATTATTGCATAGCGGGTGCGCCTTCCAAGTCGGAGAGACTGCCAAGTTCTCCCCACCTAATATTTCCACTTTAATTGTGCCACTTGAGAAATTTACGTGCCTCCAAATATGGCATGAATCTTACGCTTATTGCAGTATCATTAGCAGCAACATTTAGGTAACATCTGTGTGCCATAGAACTAATTGAAGTAGCAGAAGTGGCAGCTGTAAATCCACAGGACGATGGCAGTTTGCACCCAGCACTGCTGAGCTAGCTGCTAACTGTCAGCCTGTTCCCGCAATCTGCTCCGAGGACGGCCGCACAGGCCCGCGGTGTCCAAAAGGATCCCGCGCCCTGGCTAATGATCCCATTAACCACTCTGCCGCTCCAATTTGGCTGTTTTTCCAGCTTCCTTGTTGGGTTTCATTATACATTTCTCCGTCCCTGTAAAAAGTCCGGCAGCACGAGGCGTGTCTGACTTTAAGCGACTCACCTGAGCCAAGAAACGTGCGTCTGGCCAGGCCGAAGGAAGCATTGATTTAAAAAAAATTTTTTTTTGGTTATTTAATCATTCCGCTCCCCCACCACCAGCTCCTTCCCATCGCTTCAACATTTTTATCACACACGTCTCTGTAAAAAAAAAAATAAATAAATAAAAAGAATAACGTTAACATCCCCGGTAATGTTGATATTTAAAGCAATGGCATTTTCTTTCCACGGACATAACATTTTCAATAATCAATACAAGATGGCAGCCGTAATTTATTACTGGGAGGGGGTGGCGAGGGACCGTAGGAGCGGACCGGGAGGCTGGGGTGTTGGAGGGGCTGGGGAGCATCGGGGGTGAGCCCCCCCGGTTTGCACGTCACGGCCGATGAGTGGAGGCAGCCACGCGGGGGCGGACCCACGGGGCACCTTCTGCCTTCACCACTGACAGCGATAACAGCGATTCTCCTGCGCGGGGAGCGGGCCATCCCCAGGCCCCTTGTTTTGGGGGAGAACGTGGGCATCGGAGCCACTGCTTTTATTCAGAATATTCTCTCCTCGCGCTCCAGGGGCAGGACTATCTCGGAGGCCTCCTCCGCCGCCAGCCCCACGGCGGCTCCCGCTCCGCACTGGTGTGTGTTTGTCTGGCGGGGCGTGGGGCCCCTCCCTGAGGCCTGGCCCTGCGGCAGTCATGTCACCGGGTCTTTCGGGGCACGGAGGTGCCGGGAATGCATGGAAGGGGCCCCCTGCCATCTACCGGGGCTGCTGTGTTTGCCAATAGCCCGGCTTCATTAGGAAATTGGCATGTCCGCCCGCTGCCTGTGACACGCCGTTAACTGTGGACATTTGCGGTCTTAATGCTCAAGGACCCGGGGGGCCGCCGGATGAGGGGGGGCCTGGGGCCCGCTGACCCCGCGCCTGGGGCCACGCCGCCGCTCTGTATGGAGAATCAATAGCCAAGTGTCGGCGGCGAGGTCGGAGGTCGGCAGAATGGACTTCCTGGCACTGCATGACGAACCCTTGTTTCTCCGCTTGTTTTCTGACGATGACGCGTGTGATGGGGACCCGGTTGGTTAGAAACCGCGGGGGAGGCACGGAGCGAGCACCCGGGGCGGCGGGCTGCCAGCTGCCGGTGCCTCCCGCCGGCCCTGGCCGCGGGGGGAGGATGCGGGACGCTCTGTCCTCCCGCAGCTCGTTCTTTTGTTTTTGTCTTCAAGGACGCCTCCTTCCGGGGCCGCATTTAACCTGGGCAGAGCAGGAGGAAAGCGGTCTGGAAACCGTCCATCCCGGACTTATCACCAGGAGGCAGCTTCATAGCAGCGTGGGTGCCGTCCCTGCTCCTGGGACTTCATTCTCACTGAGAAGCCAGCCCCAGGCTCAGTGGCGGACTGGCTTCCGGAGGAATCCTCCAGCACCGGGTCCCGGAGCCGGGCCCCACCCGGAGCCTTCACACTCAGAAACACAGAGGCCAATCACAGGCGGAGGGTTCCGGCTACTGATCCTTGTATTTCCTAGCGTGCTGAGAAACTCACCCTTATTCCTCTGTGAAAGAGAACACCATCCCAACACACAACAGCCTGAGTCAGCAAAGACTTCATCTATAATTTCCAGAGCAAATACCAGCGAGTGAGCGGAGCTGGCCTGTGCCCCCTTCATGCAACCCTCCCAGTGCCGGGTTGTCCTCACTCAGACTGCGGGGAGACCAGGCCGTGCGAGGAAGGGCAGCTGAGAAGGTGGAGCCGTGGAACAGCCCTGCAGAGGACTGGGGGCACCAGTGCATGGCGGGGAGCTGGCCACCCAAGGTTTCTGTGATGGGCTGTTCTCCGTCCTCTGCCCCCTCGGCCTATGTGGGGCTGTACATACGTGCACCTTTATTTAAAGCGATATGCCTCCTCCAGGCTCGAGAGCTTTATAAAATGAGTGCTGCATTCCCTATGCCAGTGGCCGGCAAACTGTGGCTCTCGAGCCTCCGTTTGCCCCTGTGTTGGACTGAGTTTGCCGACCACTGGGATAGGGGCTTCATCACAAGGGATGACAACAGCCTGTAATTACTGGAATCGAGAGTCTTAGGTCAGTGGTCGGCAAACTCATTGGTCAACAGAGCCGCAGTTTGCCGACCACTGCTCTAGGCAATTTCCTGCAACTGACTCTGCCTGCCCGTCTGAACCCACTGGTGCTAGGGCACAGAGCCTACTCACCGTGGTCGCTGCGCCACGCTCCGCCACGCTACCCACCCCCACCTGTGGCTGGAGCGCTGTCTTCCAGATGCATGCTGGGACGGAAGGCGCTGCTCCCGCTGGCAGTGCCGTGCTTGTGCCCATGGCTCCTGGTTGGGGGGTGTGTGCCTGGGAGTGGGGCGGGGAGGAAGGCTGGTCAGGAGCTGAGGGCTGTCCATGCTCCAGGGAAACACCACGGGTGTCCACAGTCCCCGTGCACACAGACTGACGTGCATCTCACTATCTCATAGCCATAGCCCTTCAACGTCCCGGAACATCAAGCAGAGCCAGTTCTAAGCGCACACGGCCATGAGAGGGCTGTTCTAGACTTGATTCTAGAACAATGAGGACCGGCATCAGTCCCAGGGCTCAGCACAGACCCTGAGCAGACGGCCAGGGCTCAGCTAGGCCTCCAGACTTAACCGCTGAGAGACTTGGGGCACAACACTGCCCCCCCCCCCCAGGGGAATGCCGTTAGGGTGCGTGAGGGCTGGGCGTTTGGACAAAGGATGGAGAGGCTGGGTTTTGTTGGCAATGCCAGGTACTTACTGAAATGCTTTCTGGAGAGGCCCAGGAGGCAGAAGTTTTCACGGCAGAGCTGAGGGCACCCCGTCTGGGGAGCAGGGACCCAGCGACCGGATGAGACCATCAACCATCCCAGAAGGCTGACTCGGGCTGCGGAGCGCTGGAGGCGGGGCCGTGAGGGGGCCCAGGCCGGTGCGAGGTGAGCGGGCTCTGCCCACCCCTGGGCCCTGGAGCTCTGCTGTGCTGTCGGGAACACGCTCATCTTTTCAGAAGCTGAAGACAGCTCTTTTCAGGGGCGGCTTCCGGGAGTTGGGGTGTCTAAGGTGGAAAGCTCAGCCACCAAGCGCACGCGCAGGCCATGTTTTTCCGAAGCGGAGGCCACCCAGCTGCTGGCTGTCCGTGGCCGACCACGCGCCCCGCTCCCCGCGCCCGGGCTCGGGCTGTTCCTGGCCCAGGACTCGGCCTGCGGGCGGCGGCTGTTTCTCCCGTCGCGAGGCGAGCTTCCAGGGGCTCTTCAGATAGTCATCGTCTTCATCTTAAACGTAAACACTGCCGCCGCGGGTTAGAGAGAGATTAATGATTTGCTGACACCTCCGAGCCCGTCGGAAGCGAGCCCCAACCAGCACGTTCGTCCTTGTTTCCCAGGCGCCGGGGGATCCCGTCCCCGTGGTGCCCAGAGGCCCGGAGATGGGCCGGGCATCTCTCCTGAGCCGTGCCCACCGACAGCAAGTTCACAGCTGTCCTTTGTCACCGGATGGTCGGAACTGCCGCGAGCTGGGTCTGTTCGCCTCTGGAGGAGGGACGAGCCACCCCTGAGCTCCCTCCCAGAGGAAGCGGAGGCTCACACAGCCGGGCGGGCCGGCCGTCCCATCGCCACACCTCACCGGCCCTGCCCAGACCGGCCTGCAGGTGCTGACCCAGTGATGACCAGGCCACCTCCGCCCACACCGTTTCCCTGGGGCCCCTCCCAGGTCCGGGGCAGCCCGCCAGGTCCCTCATCTCTGTCCCAGGCCACTTCCTCAGGCAAAGGTGCCAGGATACCCGCCCAGCAGCCTGGCCTGCAGGATGGCCCACTCCCTCATGCAGCCACCTCGGACGTGCCCGGGGTTCTGCTGGCGATGCTGCCGACGTGCCAGCGCCGGGAGGACTGGCCAATTACACTCCACATCTGAATTTCTTATATTCCGGTGTTTTACACTAATTAGTTAGTCCTGCTAGCTCTAAGGATTAGTACCTTCTCTAACAAGACACGGCGACATTAAGAGACTTACCTAATTATGTAAAACGCAGGGGCGCGGGGATGAGACCGACGCGGGATGAGGCGGCAGGCTTCCCGGCAAGGCTGGGCCTCGCTGCCGGGCCGAGGCGCACCCACCACCCGGGGAACAAGGAGTGGGGACGCAGGCCTGACTGGACAGAAGGCCTGAGGGAGGCCCCTCCTCCCCGAGGGACTGCTGCCTCCTGGGCCCCGTCCCTGCCAGGCCAGGCGCTGTCTCCCAGCGGAGACCAGAGCCACAGCAGCCAGGTTTCAGAGCAGCATGAGGGCCACGGCTCCGAGTCCAGCCAGAAGGCTCCATGTCAGAGCCAGGCTCCAAGAAACTTTCGAGGAGGAGGAGGAGGAAGAGGAGAGGCAGGAGGAGCAGGAGGGAGGGGAGGAGGAGGGGAAGGGGGGAAGGGAGGCTGGAAGGAGGAAGAGGGAAAGGTGGAGGTGGGAGGAGGCAGGGCTAGAAGAGGGGGTGGGAGGGAGGGAGGAGGGGAGTGGGAGAGAGGGAGGAGGGGGGCACGAGGCAAGGGGGAGGGGGGTGGGAGAGAGGGAGGGGAGGGAGGGAGGGAGGAGGAGGTAGAGGGGGACCTGCAGCACCCGGGAGGCTCAGCAACACCGCCCCATCCGCCTCCCGAAGATGTGTTCATTACATCTGAGACCAATTTGCTGGGAACTAAGAAACCTGTCACCCTGCCTCCTGGCCCGGAAGCCAGATGTTTGCCCGGAGAAGTACCGACAGCTACATGCCGCTCGGTGTTGTAATATTTAGCCGTGTCATTTTACATCTCCAGGAAAAGGCGCTGCAAGTGAACGCGTGTTCTCCGCTCACAGGAGGCGTCCGGCCTGGAGCCGGAGCCGGGGCCGGAGCGGGAGCCGGGGCGGGAGCCGGAGCCGGAGCCGGGGCCGGGGCGGGAGCCGGGGCGGGAGCCGGAGCCAGGGCTGGGGCCGGGGCGGGAGCCGGAGCCAGGGCTGGGGCCGGGGCTGGGGCTGGGGCCGGGGCCGGAGCCGGGGCGGGAGCCGGGGCCGGAGCCGGGGCGGGAGCCGGGGCCGGAGCCGGAGCCGGCTGGCTGCCCTCGGCGGCGAGCCGCTGCCCCATGGGCTCTCCAGAGCCCCTCTGGGCAGTGCCAACACTCCCGCCGACGTGCCCTCTCAGGCCGGGTGCTCAGAACCTTCCGGAAATAAGCACTCACTCGCCCGTGCACCGGGGGAAGGGGTGGGCTGTGCTGCTTTGCTCTCCGGGTGATGGGGCCAGGCCGGGCCCAGGGCACAGGGAGTGTCCAGGGGAAGGACAGCCGCCCAACCTCCTCCGCGCAGAGAGGAAGGAAGGGCTGACCTGTCAGATGCGTCCACACCAGCGTCTCCCAGGACAGCTCTGGAGCTACACTTGTGCCACATGCAACTGGGTTTTGTCGTTAGACCTATCGCTCACTCGGACAAAATGACCCAGCTCTGGGTGGACTGTCCCTTCTCCTTCTAGCTGCCGCTGTCTCCCGGGCACACTCGCTGCCCACCGCGTGGGCTGGCTCTCTCATCACCACCCCGTCACCCCTGGCCCGGCCTCACCGGCTGCAGGACGCCCCGGTGCCGTGAGCACAGAGGGAGAGGGCCAGCCAGCACCCAGCCCTGCATGCCCGGGGACCAGCGTGGGCACTCGGGAGACTTGAGCAAGGAAGCACACGTCTTCCCATGCAGGAAATGTCCACTCTGAGGGCTGTTCTCCTTCCCAGAGACCCAGGAGCGAGAGAGCATGGCCTCCTGCCAGCGGCCCGAGGCGGGGGCTGCCCTCCCCTGGGCAGTGCCAGGCACAGCAGTGCCCGGTGGTATGTGAGCAGGGAGAGCCGCCCACACTCCCCCCTCTCCCCGCAGGTGTGGTCATCTCACTGGCTCTGGAGGAAGTCCCCAGGGTGCCCAGAGGTAACATTCCTTCTCGGGCCTCTGGGCTGTTCTCTGCTCAGGTCTGGATTGAGTGATGGGGACACTGGACTGTCTGCAGAGGGGACACCCCTCCCTTTGACATTTGGGGAGCTGAGCTTCAGGGAGGGTGGGCCACAGGGTGCTCACTTGCTCAGGGGTGTTGGGGGAATTTGAACCCCGCTCAGCTGGGTCTGTGGCTCCCTTCTCTCTCCTCTGCAGGCCCCGCAGAGGCTGGGGGGGGGGGGCTGGGAGGCACCCCCAGCCCAGAGCTGTCCCGCATGGTGGGGCGGACGCCTTTGGGGGACCCGCACACCCGCTCCCACACAGGCTGCCAACAGTCTCACATCTGCAGCCACGTTCCCTCGTAGCCATGGCAACCCAAACATGCACCAGCAATACTTTCTGCACAATATCACATGTTGCTCAATGTTTGGACACTGATGTTTTCTCCAGCTGGGTTTTCCTTCATTTAAGTCAACAAACCAATCTGGAAGCAAACATGCTGCTTGTGTTTGGGAACCAAACAGAGTGATAAAGTAACATGAAGATCTAGGAAAAACCTGCAGGGTGCGTGTGCCGTGGTGTGTGTGTGTGTGTGTGTGTGTGTGCGCTCATCTGGTGATGTGTGCGTGTGCCGTGGTGTGTGTGTGTGTGTGTGTGTGTGTGTGTGTGTGTTCGCACGCTCATCTGGTGATGTGTGTGTGTGTTGTGGTGTGTGTGCGTGTGCGTGTGTGTGCGCGCTCATCTGGTGATGTGTGCGTGTGCTGTGGTGTGTGTGTGTGTGTGTGTGTGTGTGTGTGTGTGTTCGCACGCTCATCTGGTGATGTGTGTGTGTGTTGTGGTGTGTGTGCGTGTGTGTGGGTGTGCGCGCTCATCTGGTGATGTGTGCGTGTGCCGTGGTGTGTGTGTGTGTGTGTGTGTGCGTGCGCGTGTGCAGTGGTGTGTGTGTGTGTGTGAGTGCGCGCGCGCTCATCTGGTGATGTGTGCGTGTGCAGTGGTGTGTGTGTGTGTGTGCGCGTACGCGTGTGCCGTGGTGTGTGTGTGTGTGCGCGTGCGCTCATCTGGTGATGTGTGCGTGTGCCGTGGTATGTGTGTGTGTGCGCGTGCGCTCATCTGGTGATGTGTGTGTGTGTGCCGTGGTGTGTGTGTGTGTGTGTGTGCGCGCGTGCTCATCTGGTGATGTGTGCGTGTGCCGTGGTGTGTGTGTGCGTGTGTGCGCAGTGGCACGTGTGTCTGGGGTGTGTGTGGATGACTCGGCAGCTGAAAAACACGGGAGAAGAGGGACAGAGCTCCCAGCCCTCAGCCCCTTCTGCCCAGGCCCCAGGCCTGATGCCTCATCACGGAGATCCTCACAGACAGCGGAGAAGCCGCTCAGAGCGCTGCCCGGGCCCCCAGGACCCACGGTGAAGCCACCACACGTGTCAGCCCCCCTGCAGCAGCCTCCCCTCTCCTGCTCCCACGGGGTCAGAGTTCATGACATCGACCACGTGGCAGCTCCGTCCTACATCCTCAGACACAGTGCCCCTGCCACCTGAGCCCAGCTCCTCCGTCACACGCAGCACCGCCCTGGGGGCCCACCAGGAACCCGGGCGCAGCTAAAGCCGGGCATTCGCGGCTGCCCATCCCCACCTCACCCCACCCCGGTGCCACGCTTTCAGGCTGATCCTGCCCACGGTCCATGTGGGACCTCTCAATGGAGGGAGCATTAATGAGCAGCTTGAAAGGCTCGCTAACGGCGACCTTTCATCAGCCCCGGCGCCGGCAGGCTGGGCCCCGCCTCCACGCGCAGCTCCCGGCCGCGTCCACGGCCGTGCACCGCCCGGCCAGGTCCCGTGTGCCGGCAGTGATGCAGGCCAGACGCCCTCCGTCTGTCGGCGGCTGGAGCCACGGGGCCAAGGACTCTGGGCGACACTGGACCCTGCAGTTTCTCCAGCTCCAGGCCTGGCTTTTAACTGCCACCCCCACTCCTTCAATCAGACAGAGACAGACAGACAGACGGGGGCTGCTTGGCAGAGTTCTGCTTAAACCTCCACATCTTTCAAACCGGTAACAAAGAAAGCTGCCGTGAACTTCAGCCATCAGATGTCCACGGACAAGAAAAAGGAGTGAGAGCCCTGTATGGGCCGAGGAAGCCAGAGTGAACCCTCCTCGAGGGCCCCCCTGCCCGGCCACGCCCCAAGCCCCAGGCCCCACGCCAGGACAGCCTCTTGGAAACACCCGCCCGGCGACACCAAGGCCCCGGGCACCCCAGCGCTTGGAGCCCTCGGCGACAGGTTCGGTCTCCTGGTTGGTCTCCAGGGAAAGGCTTTTGACTGAAAGAAAACAATTCGTCCCCGTGTGTCCGCGATGCAGCCGTTTATTTATCACTGTGGCGTCTCCCTACGTGCAGCGCCAAACCCAAACAGCGCTCAGGTCTGGCCAGCTGGACGCGAAAGGAGCAATTTTCACCGGAGCTAGCTCTGACACCTCGGCTGTCCCAGTAGTGGCTGGGGTTCGAGCTGGCACGGCCACCTGTGGGCACAGCGGCGGGCACGCTGACAGCCGAGGTGGGCATGCTGGTGCTGAGGCAGTTGGAGAGGAGATGCCAGCAGGGCCTGGGGGCCCGGGGGGCCAGCGGATGACCATGGAGTCTGTGATGGCATCTCTGGGGATGTCGCTGTGACTTCTCAGAGGAAGAACGGCACCGCCCAGCGCCGCGGGGCGCATCACCGCGGACAGGTCTGCCTCCGGACACCGCCGCCTTAAAAGGCTGTGTCTCTGTGATAGCACCTCCTTCACAAACGGTTAAGAAACACCCCTGGCCTGTTGCTCAGTGGTTAGAGCATTGGCCCGCAGTCCCAAGGGTCCAGGTTCAATTCCCAGTCAAGGGCATGCCCCTGGGCTGCAGGCCCCATCCGAGCCCCGGTCAGGGTGTGTGCAGAAGGCAATCGATCAATTTGTGTCTCACATCAATGTTTCTCCTCTCTCCCTCTCTCTGTCTATCTCCATACTCCCCCCCGCCCCCCGCCCCCCGCCTCCACACACACCTTTACACTCTCTAAACATCAATGGGAAGAAAGAATCCTGGGATGAGGGTTAACCAAAAAGAGGAAAAAAGGGCGATGGCTTCTCTACAGACACACTCACACTGGAGAGGCCAGGCCACTCGGCACAGGAGATTCCGGGCACCAGCCGGCAGAGTGGAGGCCCTGCGGGAAAATGCAGCAGCCGCTGGCTGAAGAGGGACTGCGTCTCCGGCCGCGACCGAGCTGCCAGGGGCTGCTCGCAACTACCCCTGCTGGGTAAGGGGTGGCCCCGAGTCAGACCTCCCAATGCGGGATCCACTGCCAGGCGCCTACTGCCACCTGCGTCCGTGCCCTGCCGAGAACCACCCTCACGCCACCCCTCCCCCTGTTCCTGGTCTGGCCAGGCCCAGCCAGGGCTCCGGCTTCAGTACGTGCGGTTCTGCAAGAACAAACATCATCTCCGAGCCTTCCGCTCTCTGGTCTTTGGGAATGGGCGGGCACAGCCCTCGCGCTGCCAGCTGTGCGCCGCCCGCGGGTCCCCGTGCGAGCGCGGGAGGGACGGGAAACGGACTGACGAGGGGGACCCGCGGCCAAGGCCAGAGAACACAGCGTCCTTGTGTCGACACGCTTTTCATTTGGGAGGTTTGCTGTGTTTCTCTGTGCCTGTCCTTCTCTTTGTGTTTGTAAGCGGAGCCGCGATGCTGAGCGACAGCGGCTCCAGGCGACCGCCCGGCTTTCATGTCGCCCCCGCCGAGCCTGTCCTCGGAGCGGTACACGGCCCCGCCATGCGCCCGCCGCTGCCTTTGTCAGCTCCACCCCGGGGCATGCATCAAGCCGTCTGACAGGGCCGAGCGGGCCCAGGGAGACAGGAAGCGGAGTGCGGGCTGTGCTGCACTGAGTGCACGGCCCAGGCCGGCGGAGCCAGGCCCCGCAGAGTGTCCAGGTGCCCGCGCGGGGCTGTGCGGGTGGGTCCCTGGCTGCACGTGGCTGAGCTGCAGCAGGGGCTTGGCCCTCGACCGCTGCAGGTGTGCGTGGCTGCTCGGCCCGGGATGGCCCAGGGCCCCTCCTCGGACCCCCGCCCCTGGGGCCTGGAGGTCAGAGTGGGCGCTGCCCCGTGTCAGGGAGCCACGCTGTCCCGCTCAGGGGGCGGCCTCCATGCAGAGCACACGGCCGTGTGGACATCTGGAGCATCGTCGGGGTCTGACGGTGCCACAGGGCGGCCTGCTCCCTGCCAGCAGCCCCGGTGGCCGCCGGGCACATGGGCCGGTCACAGCCCCTCGGAGAGTCCCACCTGCTGACCGTTCTCCAGCCGCTCTCAGGCAGGCTGGCCGGGGCCTCCGGACCACAGCCTAGCGCACTGCTATGGTGCCCTCTATTGGAGAGCACGAGCGAGAACCCGCACCTCAGCTGCTGCCTGAGAGCCAAGCTCCCCGCTGTCGGAGCGGAGGGCACAGGCAGAGGTGACCGCTGCAGCAGCCTCTTCCTCCGGAAACGTGGGTCCCAACCACCGTCACGACCCCCTGATGCAAAGTGCACCCCCGGCCCCCGACGGTCTTCCCGGCCTGCTGGAAACAGGACCGGCCTCCGCTCCCACAGGGAGCTGTCGGACAAGCCACACGCCTCCGGTTCCGGAAGCCCGAGTGGGGCCCGAAATGGGCGCGGCGCCCACGGCTGCGGGACCGGCTCCCGGGGCCACGCCAGGAGTGTGCCCGCCCGCCGTGGGGAGAGGACTCCGCTCGCTCCCACGCTGACGTCCGGAGAAGGCCGGAGCCAGCAGGGCACACGTGGATGGTGCTCAGGCCACGTTATCCGTGAAGGGAAAACCCAGACCGGGCCCGGCTGGCGGAGGAGAAGGACGGAACCACGGCCACGGGCGAGGAGGCCCCGAGGCTGGTTTCCGTTCGGTGCCCGCTCTGCTGTGGGGAGTGGATGTGAAACACACAATCCGCCCCAACCGGCACATGACGAGGCTGCATTTTTACCCGGTTCCTGGTGACAGACACAAACCACTCACGCTCCTGAGCTGCGGCTCACGCGGTCACAGGGAGCCGGGACGGGAATACGGCTTCCGGGGCACGGGGCGCAGCCATTTCCCGGGAATCACATCCCCACGTTATGTACCACACACAGCCCTGGGCCCCTGCTTTTAGACACAGTTAATGACGAGCAAGATGCACACAGGTACCAGAGGCCCAGGTGGCACACAGATCTGGGGGTGCTCCTGGTGCCGGCCAAAGGAGCTGACCCCCTTCCAGGGTGACCTTGGCTTTGAGGCTCTCCTGCGGGCACTGGTGGAGTGCGCCAAGGCCAGGAGCAGGGCGGGGTCGGGGGTCAGCCTGTGAAATCACACCCCTCAGTCAGGCGCCCTCCAGCCCCAGCCTGCCCCTCGCCCCGAGAGTGGCTGATGCTGCCAATGGTTCTGATGACCAGGTCCTCGCCAGCGACCCACACAGACCACAGTGGCTGCGTCTGGCACGAGCTTTCCCGGCAGCTGGGCAAACGAAGCTACAATAGAAACCCTCCCAGAGGCCGTTCCCGCCAGCGGCCCTCTTCCCCGAGGCCCCAGCTTTCACACCGGAAAGGGGGCGGGTCCACGCCCGGTGGTCAGTCTCTCGGGGGAGGGACAGGGCGGCAGCCGGGACAGGCGGCGTGGGCCGTGGTCCCAGGGCTGCAGCTGGCTCTGGGCGGGGCCCAGCTGTTCCCATGGACGCCGATGCTTCCCTCCTGGGCGGTGGCCCTCCTGCTCCCAGTGCCCCCCCCACCCCCATCCCTGTCCGACACACCAGGACGGGGGGACACGGCGCGAGGAGGGGCCTCGCTCTGCGGGGAAAGGTGAAACAGACAAAGGGAGGTGGACACACGTCCCCAGGACACAGAAGCTTCATTAATGTGGTGGCGCGTCACACCCTCACTCCTGCCGCAGACGCTCAGTCTCCGCCCGCACACTCCGAGCTGCTGCTGCCCCTCAGGGCCCCGCACCGGGTTCGGGCCAGACGGGAGCCCCCTGCCGGGGCCGGGGGGGCCGCCAGGCTGCCCTCGTGGTCCAGAAGCCACTCCTTCACGCCCAGCCCCCCGGAGTAGTTGCCCACGGCTCCGCCGCTGCAGACCACACGGTGGCAGGGGACGAGGATGGGGACCTGGAAGAAAGAGGGGGCCCCGTCAGCCTGGGCTGCGGGCCCGGGGGGTCCCGGGGCTCCTGCCGAGGCGCTGAGCGGGGACCCGGGGCTGCCACTGGGCCCACCCACGGGTGACCTCGCTCTCAGCACCACGGCCCGACCTCTGGGGTCTCCAGGGGGCGGGGCCAGGGGTGGGTACAATCCCCGAGGTGAACGTGCAGCGTCCTCCAGCCAGTCCCTGTGCACGGAGGTTTGGAGGGGAGACAATCTCATTTGGAGAGAGTCACAAAGTGCATTTCCAGCATTGAAACTCACATTCCACGTCACAGGCGGTGCCTGACGTTCCCAAACCTGAGACGTAACAGAGCTCACGCCTGGGGTGCCCTCGAGCTCTGCCCCCCCAGCCCACCCTCGGCTCCTCGCTGCCCTCTGCTCACCTGGCCCTCTCTCTGCACCCACTATGGCGGCCATCGGGGCTGCCGGCGGGGAGCAGGCCGCCCTGGGACATGGTCAGACCCCAGCACCCCGGATGCCCCACACTGCCCCGTGCTCTGTGAGGAGAACCCCCCCCCCCCCATTCCTCCCTGACACAGGGAGCCTCGCACTCAGATCGCCACATGCTCCTCCGTGAGCTCACGGGGGCCCTGCCAGGCCCTGAAGGTGAGGGTTCTCGGGCTCCAGGTCCTGTCCACTGACCACCCCCTCGGCTGTAGCTCAGCAGTGAGAAGGTCTGCACCCGGACTTCCACGCTACACCTCCGAGGTCGGCGAACCGGACACGACGGCCAGCCGCTGACAGCCGAGTGCCTGGAGGGGGCGGCTGAGGCGCCCTCTGGATCTCCTCACGGTGCCGGGCACCGCTGTTCCCTGGTGCCATTCCTGCCTTGGCATCGCTGGGCACCCTTTACTGGGCATGGAGCTGGGTCACCGGCTGGGCACCGGTCTGCCTCAGCCGCCGCACAAACCCTATGCCCGAGTGTGGGCTCTGTGGGCCCCGAGCTGGCTCTGGCCCTGGGCGGGCCGCATGGGCCGGACGTGGTGCTCCTGGGCCACTGGAGAGCGTGCTGTGTGCCCCCAGCGGCGCCCATGACATCCCGTGCCAACCAGCCAGGCCGCGGTCACGCTCCGGGCGAACCCAGTGCCTCACCCGAGCTCAGCCACGTGGCTGTTTGGGGCAAAGAAGGATTCCTGTCCGACCTTCACGCCCCTCGCCGGGCCTGGGGGCCAGGCCGTTCCTGGCACAGAGGAGGAGGCCCCATTCCCATGGGAAGTTCGGGTTGCTATGGTAATGTGTGCAGCCGGGGTCCGGAGCTTCCTGTCCGGTGCAGCTTCACGGAGAGAAGCGCAGCGCTGCCCGGGCCCGCACACTGCCACATGCCCGCCTCCCGGAGGGCAGACGGCTGAGAGAGACCGTCACTGGGACTCGGGCGCTCATCGGTGCCCGGCCTCAGGGATCACCACCTGGCGGGCGCAGGGAGGCCAAACGCCACTCAGGTTTCTGACTGGCGAAGAGGGAGACTTGGTCTCCTTCAGCTTGGCTCTGCCAACACGTAGGCTCTGGTCCAAGCCTCTTTCCTGAGGGATCTCCCCGTGACCTCCACTCTCCTCTCCCACCCCCAGCAAGCTACGCGATGATCTGTGTGCATGTGTGTAACGTGAACCGGGCGCTCCTGCTGTGTGTCACAGAGGACAGGACGGCCGGGTGGAAGGACGGCCAGTTATGACGAAGTGATGCCCAGGCCGTGTGGTGCCCACAGTGACAGGAACAGGTGAGCGGCCGAGCACACGCCATGCGCGCTGGCGAGGGTGACGCTGCTCCGGCTCCCGCTAATGCCGGTGGCGGGCGTCACGCCGTTAACACGAAGAAACCCGCTAACACGTATCGGGGCCCCGAGGACATTGCAAAGGAGCGGGCCCGCCAGGCCTTGGCCCTCGATGAAGGTGCTGCATAAAATGTGATTCTTATCAATAACCAAGCGGCTCAGAACGTGGCAGCTGGCCCGGAACGCTCACGCTGTGAAACCTCATTCACCCGGGGCGCACGTCCCATCGCTTACACCGGCCGCTCTCCCAGGCTATACAACTTCCAAACCCGGAGATTTGTCTCCAACAAGAACAACACGGAGGGGCCGGTGGATCGATGGGGAATCCCTCTGATTCGGGCCCGCCGGTCCTCTCTCCATCTCGCCTTTGTTCTCCGGGCGGCAGCCCACAGGGGAAGGGCTTGTTTTCACTCGCGGCCTCATCAATACCTAAATCCTGGCGAACAAGTGACACCGAGAAGCTGTAATCAATAGCTCCCTGTGCGTTTTTTTCTTCTGGTCAAATGGTTCAGCCCCGCTGACAGCCCTGACACTCAGAACATGATGCTAAATCTTTATCAGCGGCGTCCGGGTGACTGGCAGAGCGCGCGCGGGGTCGTTAGTGCTCCTGGCGATCTGTGAATAAACTCACTCCTCGGAAGGCGTTCTGTTTGGAAGAAGGTGGGAGACGCTCTGTGCGCCGGATCGATCGCCTCTGAACTGCATTAAGCAAATTCCGTGTGTGGATGAGCGCTGGTGCTTCGAGGGGGAGGGGGCCGGCCTCTCCAGTCCGCTATCTACCGGGAAGCGGGCCCGCCTCCGCGCTGGGGCCGGGAGAACCTTCCGGAAGCCCGCCGCACCGTCTTCCCCGGGCTGGCCAGGGCCTCCAGGAACACTCTGGAAGAAGCCGAGTGTCTAGGACAGGACGAACCTCCCTCCCAGCAAAAAGCACGCCTCCCCTGGCAAGGAAGGGAAGTGATGCCGATGTGTCCGCGCTCCCACAAGCCCCAGAAGAGGCACGTGCCACGTGCTCCCCACAGTCCTCCCGGTGTGCAGCCCCCCCCCCCCCCCGCCCCCGGAGCGCTGTCCAGGGAGCATGTCCAGGGAGCCAGCCTTCATAACACGGACACGCTATCTGTGCGGTAGCTAGCCAGCCATCACCACCGAGGGCAGGACACAGTCAGGGGACGTCCACACCAGGCACGTCCAGCCCCGGGTCAGAGTCACCCCTTGGGCCCCCAGCCCATTCTAAGGCGGCTCTCATCACTTTACAGAAACCCCGTGAGGACTGTCCAGCTCCTGTCATGCCCAAGTGCCGCCAGCCACATATTCAATACACGGATGCGCCTGCACCCCAGCCGGGGCCCCGCTCAGGCCCCGCAGCGGCTGGTGCCAGGCAGCCTCGCCATCAGGTGGGCGAGGGCCCGATGGGAGGGCCGCAGAGGCTCCTGCCGGCCTGGAGTCTCCGCCCGCTGGCCTCCGGCATGCGACGGGAAGCCCACACGAGGCCAGCGTGGACACGGAGCCTTAAGCCCCGTGGATCCTGTTTTATAAACCTCAGCGGCCGAGGCCGCACGTGCAGAGAAACATCACAGAGATTAATGGCAGGAGGCCGGCGTCGCGCTGGTTGCACGACAATAAATGTTCCCGAATATCGCCACGAGGGCGACCACCGAGGTGCCACGTGTCCCCAATGCACAGGCAGGTGAGGCTCCCATTTGTACCCGCCGGTTAGAGCCGGTGGAGGCGCCAGGTGTGGGCGCGAGTGCCTGTGTGCACCTGGCACCCAACCGGGCGTCCAGCGGGGCCTGGGCAGCGGAACCTCCGGGACAGGGCGGGGGCGGTGAAGGGAGCCTCCCGCAGGGACGCAGGGAGCGGCGCAGAAACCCCGCTAGCTTCCGACGGAGGCGAATCCAGGGAGCCTCTCCCGCGACACCACGGGGTCCGGTGGCCTTTTCATCACACCCCGGGAGAGGACGGGACCTCCCAAAGGGAGACACAGTTACGCGCTACTGGCAAACGTTAACAACCCTATCCCCAAACTTACCGTATTTTTCGGACCATAAGACGCACTTTTTCCGCCCCCAGAAGTGGGGGGGAAAAGTCCCTGCGTCTTATGGTCCAAATATAGCCTACACATATACTTTAAAAAAAAAGTTTTTTTACTTGCCCGGCTCTGTGTGGTCTCTGTGTGCTTGCCCGGCTCTAAAATGGTTCTAAATGCTGCTGTTTACTTTACAGGGTTGATTACATGTGTTTATGACTGTGATGTTGGGTTTTAATGCACATAAAATATTTTAGGACACTATTTGTTTCAGAATCTTTTTTTCTTCATTTCCCTTCTCTAAAAACTGGTGCGTCTTATGGTCCGGAGCGTCTTATGGTCCGAAAAATACAGTAGTTTGGAGTCACGCCGTGCGCTCCAAAGACACACGGCCTCTGCGTGGCAGGATGTGCCTAACGACAGGCCGGCACCAGCAACGACAGACAGTGGTGCTCAGGGCACCCTCGTCCCCAAGGTCTCCGGACACGGGGACACGGGAAGCATGGGAGACACAGGAGCGTCCCAATCACACGTGGCGAGACCTTCGCAGAGCAGATGTATGTGAAGACAGTGCCAGGAGGTGCTTCTCCAGGACCAGCGAGGCCGCTCCGGGCGGAAGGCTAGGTGACTGCCGCCTCCCAAGCGCCGGCGCTGCCCGGGGCGGCCACGACCCAGGGCCGGTACAGTCGGCTGTGGCATACCGACGCCCGCCTGTCCCTGGCGAACAGGGAGGAAAATGGCCTTGAAAGTAGACAGCAAGCCGAAACCGGTGTGGCTCAGTGGATAGAGCGTCGGTCTGCGGACTGAAAGGTCCCAGGTTCGATTCCGGTCAGGGGCATGTACGTTGGTTGCGGGCACATCCCCGGTAGGGGGTGTGCAAAACGCAGCTGATGGATGTTTCTCTCTCATCGGCATTTCTAGCTATCTATCCCTCTCCCTTCCTCTCTGTAAAAAATCATTAAAATATATTAAAAATAAAAAAAATAAAAAGAAACAGACAGCAAAGCTACCCGGTTTTTCAGAAAGCGGGTCTGATTCAGTCACTTCCCATCCAGACTCAGGGATGCTCTTTGCTCTGACGGATCGAACAGCATTCTTCTGGCGAATCAGAGACTGCCCCGGGCCGCAGGGAGAAGCTGCTGATGTGACAGCGTCACGCTGGTCCGGCATGGCCGTGAGGGGGACAATCCCAGGGCCTCATACAGCCGGGTGGGGTCTCCGGGGGCTGAGCCATCAGGCAGGCCGGGAGCCCAGCCTGCCACACCCAGGCCCCGTCACGGCCTCTCCCTCCCTTGTGCTGGTTCCTTCCTGTGACTGGACAGCCGCCGGCCCGTGTGTGACCTGATGGGGACCAGAGGTGCCTCCGTCCTCTGGGCACGGCAGGCCCAGCCACCTGCACCGCGGCCGTCCTCTGGAGAAGCCGGCCTCACAGGGTCTGTGAGTGTGCCCTCGGCCACACCCATCGTCAGACACCCGGGAGGGACAGGACATGGAGGAACCGGGGGCAGCCACGCCCAGACCCAGCCATAGCCCAGGCCAGAGGCCAGCCATCCCTCGTGGTCAGGCCCAGGAGGGCTGGACCTCATGACGGAGGTGCCCTGGGGAGCCGGACCCGGCACGAGAGCCTTCTAGAAGGTGAGAAACTGGAGGGGGCCTTTCACTGCAGTGAAAGCGCCTGGGAGAGGGGGCTCATGGCACCCGGGGCGCCCGCTGGTGAACGAAGGGAGGTCTCCTCGCCCCTCGCCCCTCACCCGCCCGTCCCCGGTGCTCCCCGCGCGGGGCTCCTGTGGTTCTCACCCCGAGGAAGGGCTTCATCATCACCTCCCCCCACAACCGGGGACCCCACGGTGCTGCCCACGTCTCTCTGAGGTCCCGTCACCAATGCTTCCTGTCCACCCCCCCGCCCCCCGCCCCCGGCAGCTCAGGCTGCCCCGGGAACGTGCTCACATCATGTGACACGGCCCCAGGGCGGTGCCGAGGCCCAGCCACCACCCCCATCTCCGCGGTCACCCCGACTTACAGGATTGCTTCTCATCGCGCTGCCCACCGCCCGCGCGGCCTTGGGGTGGCCTGCCAGGGCCGCTAACTGCTGGTAAGACACCACTTCTCCGAACTTCACGGCCTCCAGCAGCTTCCGCAGCACCTGCCCGGTGAACGAGTCTGGAAGCAGAACGCAGACGATGTTATGGGGACAGTCGGCTCCCGCGGCTCTGATACAAACAGCCGCCCGTCCCCAGACGGAAACGCACCAGCACAGACAGAGGCGCTGCCCCCAATAAAACACGGTCGCACGCGGGCTCCCGGCACAGGCCTCAGGGCCCAGAGTGGCCGGCGCCTTCCGGGGATCCAGACCACGCACCCCAGAGCCGCGGCCTCTTCCCGGCTCCCCCGGTCCCGCCGGATGCTCTCTCGGCCACAGGCCTCTGTGAACGAGCACGCCGCCCAGCTCCTCAGCACAGGAGCCCCGCCTGCCCACCGGCCTAGAGAACCCATTTGCATGCCTGGGTCATGTCCTGCTCCGGCCGGAAGGAAAGAGAAGCCCGGCAGGACTCAATGCCAAACCGCAGGCCCCATCGGCAGTGACCTTGGCTGCAGGCGTCTGCAGTGAGCGGGGCTGCAGAACAAAAGGGCGCCATTCTTGCTTTACCTGCAGCTCCCCACGTGCTGAGGGTGAGCAGGTGAACACGAGAGCTGTCCCCCGACACCCCCGGTGTTAGGGCATCTCTGTGCGGAGTTTGCGGGAGGAAGCCCGGGCGGAGAGGACAGTCTGGATGCTGTCTATTGTCTGACTGCAGGGACACGGCTGGGAGCACCAGGCATGGCTCGGAGGGCTGGACATGGGGGGAGCTGCGTCCCCACAGTAAGGCCCTGAGCCCTCTGTGGCAGGAGGTCCCCATGGCACCAACAAAGGGGAGGATTCGCTGGCAGGAGCAGTGCCCCCACCGTGCCCGCGACGGCACTAATCACACTCCCTCCCTAGCTGGCAAAGTGCAATTTGGTTCTTAAAGGAAACACACCCTTACATGTACGTTAAATAATAAAAATCGCTTCTTCACCGAGGGGAAGGATAATCACGTCGCCGGGAGGAAAAAAATGTTTGGTCTTTATTATAACATTAAGCAAATTAAACATCAGCATAATCCAGGTGATACGAGAAGAGGGTCATCAAAGAAATTAACTTTGTTGTTCATTAATTTGCATGGATTAGGCGAGGGCAAAAGATAGCAAGTGTGCTCCAGTTTCTTGTGATATAATTTCAAACTGTACACCGTTTGTGGCAGGAGGGTGACTTTGGGGTTAATCAGACTGATTTGTCCTTTTAATTGCTTTCTATTCAAAGAAAATTCATTAGATAATGTTCTCTTCAAAATTCATGAATCAATTTAACTGGAGGAACCACATTAGCGGCTCGGGGTTCATTAGCGCAGGCCGCCGTGCGGAGGCCGGCGGCGGGCAGCGTCCTTCGCAAACAGCCCTGTTTACGGCGCCGGCGCCGGCTCCGGGAGGGCGTCTGCAGCCAACCGTTCCTCCTGGCGCTGTGGCTGCAGCTGCCCTCACCTGAGAGACACGGAGGGCACGAGGCCAGGAGGCGGCCCGGCCACGGTGACTGAGGAGGGCAGCCCCGGGCAGGGCGGAGGGCCTGGGCCCTGCCTCCGAGCACAGGGCGGCTGGCGTCTGTGTTTGCAGTGACTCGGGGAGAGGGTGCGCCGGGTCTCCCCGGAGAACGGCCCGGACGTTGAGAACCTGCTGACACGGGAGGAGAGATGTGGGTGCAATGGCTACCACCTGCAGCATAGTCCGGCCGGGCGGTCAGGCGGCTGAGCAGCATCCGTGCCACCCAAAGGCTGCGGGTTCCATTCACACTCAGGGCCCATACCGAGGCTGAGGGCTCCATCCTTGGTAGAGGTAACCAGTCAATGTTTGTTTGTTTGTTTTTTTTCCTCCCTCTCTCTTTCTCTTGCTCCCTTCCTTGCTCTAAACATAACCTCCTCGGGGTGAGGATTAAAAATAAACAGAAAGCCCACGGCAGCACAGAGCCGCCTGGGGGCCGGGCCCCTCTCCAGCATCCTTGATGAACCCCGCCGAGGTACGAGCACCGTCTTTCCCGGGTACAAGCGTCGTATCACCAAACAGTGACGCAGCCATGTCAGAGCACAGTTTTCCCAACCTGTCCAGCTTCCCTGTCGATGGCAGACCATCTCTCACCCTGCACATGCCAGGCAATGATTGGGAAAAAAAGCTCGAAGAAGCTACGCTCAGCAATCAAGCACAGCTTTTTGGAAATGCACCTGGAAACCCTGCAGGGAGCAAAGGCACGAATGAGTGTAAGCGGCTCTCGGAGTCAGCGCCGTTAGCTCCAGCCTGCCCAGAAGCGGATGCTGCAGTGGAGCCCGTTCTGGAGGAGGGGCCACCACGTTCGGCGGTTAAATATCCTCCCACAAGCAGAAACCGGTGTGGCTCAGTGGATAGAGCGTTGCTCTGTGGAATGCCCTGGGGCCGGCCGGCCACAGTCGGGACTAAACAAGGGGCCCCTCCCTGATCAGCCCCGATCGCTGGCCAGGCCGAAGGACTCCACCTGTGCAGGAATCCATGCACAGGGTCTCCAGTTAGAAATAAAGGCAGAAGAAATGAAATGGAATTTTTGGTTGCAATATTTGAAATATGTATGGTGGTTGAAAGTAAAATCATAACATCACCAGATAATATTTTCAGCGTGTGTAGATGTAAAATATATGTCACTATAACTTCAAGGAGGGGGCTTAAAGGATCTTTATGGTGGAAAAGTTTCTACTACCATAAGGTGGTAAAATATTGATTCCAATTAGACTGTAAAAATCAGCATGTAGTTCCTAGAGCTACCACTAGGAAAACCAGGACAAGAGATAACTATAGTCCAAAACTAACAGATAACTAATAAAGTAAAATAAAATACCAAAAATGTGTTAAAATAGCCCACAGGAAGGATAGAAAAGGGAAAGAGAAATGAAAACCAAGAAAAAGACAGAAAAACAAACGAAATGTTACCTAGTAATAAAAACAAAAGGTAATAAATAAGATAAATAAGATAAAAATAAAAATGTTATATTTATACCTGAATTCAAACATATAGATAATTACATTAAATGTAAATGGTCTAATCACACCAATGAAAAGATAAATGAATTTAAAAAAAGATCCCAAGTATGTGCATTCTAAAAAAAACCTTCAAATAATAGATATACAATAGGTGGGTTTAAAAGTAAAAGAATGGGTAAAACATTCCATGTAAACAGTAATCCTAAAAAGTTAATATCAGACAAAGTAGCGTTAAGAGTAAATAAAACTTTCAGGGTAAAAAGGAATAATACACAGCCCTCGCTGTTTGGCTCAGTGGATAGACCCTTGGCCTGCAGATCGGGGGCTCTGTGTTCCATTCTGATCTCGGGCTCATGTCAGGGTTATGGGCTCGATCCCCACGAGTGGGCACACCGGCGGCAGCTGATCCATCATTCCCATCATGGATGTTGCTTGCTATCTCTCTCTCCCTCTCCCTTCCTCTCTAAAATAAAATTAAAATTTTTTTTTTAAATAAAGGAATACATATTGATAGACTGCCCACAAAGATGACATATCAACTGTAAATTTTTGTGTACCTAACAAAAGAATTTCAAATAAAGTAAAAATGGACAAAAACTAGGAGGAGAATTAGACAAATCCATAAATATACTTGGAGACTTCAATATTTCTCTCTCAGTAACTGATAGAAATAGTTGACAGAAAATCAAGAATGTAGAAATAAAAAAGGATCACCAACCACCTGGTGGTCAGTACCTGTTGAACAGTCGCTTAGGCTCAAATATATACACACACACACACACACACACATACACACACACACACGACACTAAAATTAAGTGGATTTTGTCCCAGGAATGCAAGCCTCTCCAATGTCTGAAACGGGAATCTCTCTATAAAACGACAGAGATCAAGACCGCATGTACTGGTGAAAGAACAGATACTTAGCAAAATGGAACAGAACAGAAACAGACCCAACAAACCCAGGAGCAAAGGCCATTTAGTGGAAAAGGATGGTCTTTCAACAAATGGTGCTGGAACAACTGGGCAGCCGTGTGCAAAAAAAAACAACCCCAAATCATGCACTCCCTCTGGAAGGCGGGGCCTCAAGCAGGGGTCCCCTCTTCGCAGCACCCCTCAGCACTGGCCACAAAAGTTTCCCTGCCACCTGTCCGCCCACCCAGCCTCCTGGTCGAATGGGGGACAGACACGAGGGTCCCAGGCGCAGGCCTATGAAAGCGCCGTGCCCGCCCGGTAGGGCCCACGCCGATCCAAGCACAGGCATCCACGAGGCTGGCAAACACGTAAGGTAAGGTCACACTGCCCTCACAGCTGTTGGTCTTAGAGAATAGTTCCTTTGCTATAAATAACTATTTATAGCAGAGTGTTGCTTTAAAAGAAAGACACTTAAAAAAATCCCCCGTTGACTTTCTCACATGGTACATGTGGGGAGATACAGCCCTCGTGATCCGAAGCTCTTTGGGGTCCTGACAGTTCTGGGGAGGACAGGGGGCCCGGGGGTCGCCAGGCCAGGCCGTGTGGGCCTCCGAGCTCTGGATGAGGGGCGCCCGGAGCAGAGTCTTGGGGCTCCTGGCAGGAGGGCTGGACTGTTCGCGGTGGGAAGGAGCCGCCGCCCGCGGGGGGGGAGCGCCACGTGGGAGGCACCACCTCTGCCAGCCGCGCCCCGCGCCTGCCTGCTCCCCTCCCCGGAATTAGAGTGCCCGGACTTAGTTAACAGGAGAATTATGCCGAGGACTTGGAGCCCGAACTTCAGGAAGCCTTCAGAGAAATGATTAAACTGTGACTGTCCTGGTACGAATGTGAATAATTATCCATTAGCACCGCTACCACTCAAATAATTGTCATTCTGCTCAAAGCACAGGTGTGAGCGCTTTCTGAACAGCACGCGACCGGAGAGACGCAGGCACACGGGTGCGGGGGAGGAGGGCGGGCGTGTGGGGTCCCCCTCACACAGGGTGACCGCGGGAAAGGGTGTGGGGATCCAGCCGAAGGTCCCGCCCCTGCGGACTCATGTCCGCGGCTTGCTTTGGGGCCCTCGCTGGCTCTGCTCCCCTTACAGACACACCGCTCCTGGCCCGGGCGCT